GTGATGAGTGAGGCCATTAAGGACCATTTAGGGTCACTCACTCCCTAGTACGACTGCTTCCCAGCCTCGGGCGCAGAAAGAGCACATTACGAGCTCTCCAGCGGGTGCAAGGAGCTTGCGATGAAGATCCCTTGGGGCACGCCGCATATTTCTGTTATGTGATTTTGGGAATTTGCCCAGAAACATGGAACAGGCTCCCTTTCCAAAGAGCAAAGTTTTCCACCACTTTGTGCACTTCCCATTTGTTGGTGGGAGGAGAATTGAAGGCTTATGGGTAGGGGTTGGACAGTCCCACCAATGAATGGGAGGGAGGAGAGGGAGAGAGGGAGAGAGAGAACAAACAAGAAAGAGCAAAAGGGAGGGAGGGAGGGAGGGAGGGAGGCAGGCAGGCAGAGGGAGGGAGGGAGAGAGAGCAAGAGAGAGCGAGAGAGAGAGAGAGAGAGAGAGAGCTCTGCAGAGGGCCTACCCTCTCTATCATGGAAGCAGATTCCTTGTACGTTGGACGATTCTGATCGCATATTGGACACAACTGAGAGCCCCAGATCAGGATGTTAACATCCATTGTTCATCAGAATCATTAGCTCTTGCTGCCCCAAGGCTCTACATTGGTTTTGCCATTGGAGGGTCCGTCTGCGCTCCGCCAGGACGGAGGGATCCTCATCGCCAAATGTAAATACAGGGGCATTCCACGTACATGTCTGTTTGTAGGAGGGACATGTATTTTGAGGGCGGGGCCCTCATTGTTCCCGGTTGGGGATGGGGATATGGAGGGAACATCAAGCTCAGTTTTTGTATTCTAGGGGGATCGCTTGTGTCCAATTGCTGGCCTATGGCAATTTGCGCGGAGCACTCCACAAACATATTGCACTCTCTAGACAAATGAACTGAGTCTGAATATGTCTGAATCTATACCCTTCCTCCCACTATGCTATGTTTCTTCGTGGTTCCCAGCCATCGCTTTTTAGTGTTTAGTGGGGATTCCATTTAAAATTATCCCACTAAAGTCTAACTTTTGGCGGGGGATCTGAGGACAGCCCAGGTTAGTGGAGGAAGGGTAAGTGAAACTCGCATTGGAATCTGAGTCGCGCTGCAGGCCTTCTCTTTGGGCTATCCCCTGCCGGAGTGCCATCCTTTTGAGGCTGGGATGTGGTGCCTCCTATTTTCTCGTTTTTTGAGGCGGGTCCCCCTTCAAATCAATCTACTAACGGGTGCCCTTGTGTTTCATGGCCACTGGATGCCTGGGATTCCCTTCGCCGCCCCCTCCACCAAAATATGGCCACTTTTGACGCATGCCCGCATCTCGCTAAAGCGAGACGAAGCCCACAAAAAGAGCTGAAGCCCAAGTTCCCGCTTAGCTCCGATCCAGTTTAAGCTGGATTAGGGCTTTTGCAGCGATGGGTATGTCACTCAAGAGTGTATTTAATTGGTGAACTTTCTCCCCAAAATGACTGATCGCTTCTACGACACATTGTGACAGGCCCATTTTCGGGTGTTCAGGGGTTCCTGTATTCAGAGTCAAATCCCATGCTCTGGTGCCCATTGTTTTTCAGGAACGGGGCGCTTGAAGTGTTCTATCAGTTGAGGGTGTTAAAATGGAAGCCTCAGGAGATCATCCAGGTTTTGCAGTGTCAATTCGATTAAGATTCGATTACGCCAACTTGTCCCAGAACATGTCCATACAAGAGTTTTATATGGTTTAATGACATTTCCCACAAAGCTTCTACATTTTAGGGATCAACACGCCAACAAGCTTCTAGCAAGTGTCTAGCAAGTAAGCACCAAGTAGCCACCAAGCAACCAACAAAAACCACCGTAACTACCGAGTACCCAAGGCACCAAGTGCAACAGTTCGAGTTTTGCCTCCGCGGGCCAGAACATCTCGGAGCCCCAGAGCGAGGACAAGGAGAGGCCGGACGAGGTCCCAGTGCAGCTTGGGGCGCCGGGGGCGCAGCTTGGGGCGCAGCTTGGGGCGCCGCCCAAACCAAAGACGGCGGAGGAAAGGAGCGGAGCGGGCCCAAAGCTGGGGTGCTGGGCGGGGATGGCCATATATGGCAATTCTTCTTTTTCGACTGTTCTTGGCGGCACTAGAGGCTCTTGTTCCCCATGCCCACTGGAGGGTATCTTCCCCGGTCTTTCCAGGCTTCCGGACACACAGAAATGTTAATTCAAAATAACGATGTTTGAAAAGAATGGGCAATAACCCCATAGAGTTGTGTAGTGGCAGCCTGTTTTCCCTTTTTGTTCGCCCAAAATGGTCAAGCAACTGAAAAGGTGGCCCATTAGTCTAGCAACTGGGCGACCTTTTGACCTGCTCTGCCGGGTTGTGGCGGGAGAGTCACCTTCTTTTGTGAACCAGATAGTTCCAGGGAAGGCGAGTATTCGGTTAAAACAGCATGCTGCAACACGCTGGACCTGTCACCCTCACTACCGGATGCACGAAATCCTCCACCACTTTCAAATGCTGCGACACGATTGTTGGTTGGTATGTACAGGAGAGTCATCATTCCAGGGTTTCTTAGGTGGTATCACAAATGGTTTTTGTATGTTCTAGAACAGTTTTGCGGGTCGGTTCCGGGGCAAAAGGGAAGAGGACCCAACAGAGAAAACTGCTAACACAATGCGGGGGGTCGGAGGTGTCCCTCATGGTATCTAACTAAGTAATTATTGGTTTTGTCTTGGTTTAGTATTGCCTGGAGCTGTTGCTTCAGCTTAGTATTGGTTTGCCATTGGTTTAGTATGGGTTTAGTTTAGTATTGGGAAGGTTTTGCCGGGGAAGTTTATTTGCCTCGATTGAGTAACTTGTCGATTCTCAGTATTTGGGCCTCGGCCTCTGGCAATTTGTTGTCCGGGCTTTGGTTCCTTCTAAATGATGCCCGCAACAGTTGCTTGAAAGCCAAGCCGACAAATTCAATCAGGGTACCCAGAACAGAGACACCCCAAGGAAGGACACCCAGAACACACTGCATTTTGGCCAGCGGAACCGCACGCAAGGAGGGCATTCTTTGCCCAGCGGAACCGCACCTTGGCCGGCCATTGGATGCCGGGAACAAGCCCGGGAAGGAGAAACGACATTAGAAAGCAACTGGGGTACATGGGTTGGTTTCTTTGGGAACCAGCCCCCGAGACTGAATAGAGCCTGGGAATGGTCGACCCCTGTGTCTTGGAGTGGGTTTGATACGGCGAGTTGCGGAGCTGTTGACACTGGGCCTTCTGCTTGAGGTCCCAGAATGCTAACGCTGACAGAACCGAGCTTGCACGGGGGTCCTCTTCCTGGCTTCTTTCAATCAGTGCGAAATGTCGCTACAGGCACCCCCGGGTTTCACAATGCCCCACCTGCCTCATGTGCATTCCCACATATCCTCGATCTGATGGTAGAAGATTTGCCCGAAACTGTTCGCGAGTTCGCGAGTTACCACCGACTCACCAGTAGCTCCGCATCTTTCCTTTGGTGAAACGGTAGAGCGGTCCCAAAAATCCAAAACACGCCGCTAGAGGGGAAGGCCTGGGATGGATGAAAACCATCTGCCAACTCAGGATGTTGTCCATCGACAGAATTGATGAATAAACCCCTGGTTGATTAATAAGGGGCCCCTTTTAGTGGGGATTCATCACTTTTGGAGGGAACACCCCCCCTACTCATGGCACGGGTTTATTGATCCCGGGTCAACATGACCAGAGCTGATTCTGAGGACGTCCTCCTCCCGGGCGCGGGAAGCCACCCTGAGTTGCCTGAGTCACAAAGGGCAACAGTTGTCAGCATCATGGTAGTTGATTCAATATGCATTGATCCGTACAATTAAAAAAGACAGTAAAAACACGTGTGTATATGTAAAATATATATATATATATATGTGCTTATTGTATTTGAAATCATGTTCTGTGTGCCATGGTCGTCCCTAGATCCCCTGAGGGTGCGCAACGCCCTTCGTGCGCGGGAACAAAAAAGGTGGCCGCAAGCTATGTCGCAGTGGCTTGGAGATTCGGGGAAGAACCACGTGATCAAAACATGTTAGCCCCGATTCACTTACTACTTCTGCACGGCTCGAAGCTGTTTCTTTACGGTTGATTATATTTGCATGCTGCAATCAACAAAGTCTACAACCCTTTACAGGTCAAAGGGGGTGTGGTTCTTTTTTGAAAACCGCACCTGCAACAAGTGGTAATCTTACAGTGCGAAAATATGTAGACTGGCACTCAAACAACCAGCACACCTGCACTGGTCGCATTGCTGCATGATCCTTCTATGCTTTTGCTTGGAGGTCGGCATTTGTGTACTTTCGGCATTTGTGTACCACGCGGGCTTTGGTGGCTATATTGACGGAATGTTGAAAGTAAGCTTTCATGTTTGAGATAGCGGGCTGAAATTAGTCCCGCATTTTCTACAGCTACAGGCAACTCTCTGGAGATCGAAGGCATAACCACAATGCCCAATATGGTTTTGTCCCCCTGAACGGGACTCCTTCTTGGCTGCAATGTGCTCACCATGTTTATGCCAACAAGGACCGGATTTGAGTTGAACCAACTGTTCCCGACATAAGTGCCTGTCGAAGGGATTTCTGCCGAGATCTGCACATTTCTGTCCAAGGGGTTTTGTCTCGCCTTATCAGGATTCAGCAGACCATGGGGAGGCTTTTCAGAGGAAGCACTTTGTCACTAGTACTTTGGACGTATTCTTGATGGGACGAACAGGTTTGTTTCATCATGTTTTATCTTGGACGGTCGCTTGAGTGTGCTTCCACCCGGAAATTGGCTGCTCCAAGGAGAGTCCCCCACCCAGCCTCCAGCCTCCAAAACCGACCCAAAGCTTTTGGAACCCAGCCCCAAACCCAACCTAAACCTAGCGCTACCTTCCCCATTCTTTCCAGGGATCCTTCTTTCTAGAAAACCTTGGGGAAACCCATGGAAAGGGCCAGTTTTCGAAAAGAGCGATGGTTGGAAAGAATGGGGAACCAACCCTAGACTAACCTCACCCGGAACACCAGCCTCTGCCCTGCTCTTAGGATCCGGTGCCGATGCCGGGGCCCAAGTCAGCCAGCCGCTTTCAGCCGACCGGTGGATTGCAACCTCGGAAACGGGTGGTGTTTGTCTCAAAATGGGGGAATCTCCAAACAGGTTGACTCCATTATACATGGTGGGCCAAAACAGTTGGTAGAATCAACAAAAGACCACCCCCGGAATGATTCCTCTCGGTGAGTTTTGCCGTGTTCCGAGGCACAGGAGACTCTGTCGCCGGACCCTGAGTGGGATCGCACGGAAGAGCTTTGTAGCATGTCTCGGATGGCCTGTGTTGCGATTGACAGAGCCAGGTGAGCCAGGTGAACCAGGCGGCACTGACAGCAGACTGGCTGCATATGTCGCAGCAGATGAAGCATCAGTCAACACAGCCTGGTGCTCGTGCAAGACCATATTATACCCTCCCACCAATTTACATGAAACCTGACAGGGTGGTCCTGGAAGACCATGTTCCTTTTGAAGGGACCCCCGGGCAGGTTCCATGTCGATTGGTGGGAGGGTAAGAGTGTCCCTTTGGTGAGGGTCGTGGCTTGACGGTCGCAGGCTAGTGTGGAAACTTGAGCGGAACATCCTGGTGCCCTTCTATTCAATGATGACGAAAGGAGCCACTGGGAGTTCATTTGATCACTCACCCAGCGCATCCTTCAGGAGTTTCGACTCCGTAGCTGCTGCGTTTCCTTAGCATACCCCACCCAACCCAGGTACTAGTAGATGTTTATTTGATCAAGGTGGTTCCTAAACTCTTTGCTCCACAGGTGGGTGTGAATGTTCACAGTTCCAACACTCTCCCGTGAGTTCTGGTTGCATACATCTGCCTACTTCATGCCAAGCACCTGTGCGGGTAAAACGAGCTCACCATGAAGTGTCTTTTCTGGGGGGAACAATTCTGGTAGGATTTGCAATTTTGTAGTATCCGCGCATTATGTCCACAGAGCCCAACCCAAGATTCCTTTGCAGGTCTCCTTTGTGGCTTCTTTCCGACTCCATTAACCCCTTAGTAGCCGGGTGAATCCATGTGTGTTTTTTCTCGTTGCGCCTGGCTACCGAGCAATCTGTGAAAATGGTGACTATGGTTTACTCTGCTTGCTTGGGCGTCTTACAATATGTTTTTGTGTTGGTAGTGTTTCATGACTTGCCCAGACTCACTTCCTTGCTGTTTCTTTACACTTTTTGGGAAGCCCGTTAGTGGCAAACCAGAGGAAACAAGCCGTTGTTGACCAGTGCACTTGGAGAAGCAAGCATGCCAGTTCACCGCATTTTCCACTTAATTCAAGCAATCGAGGCCAGTGCGCACAGAGCCCCAAGGCGAACGGGACCAATCGGTCGCACGAATTCCAGACCTCCAGGGCATTCCCCATGGCACCGAGAGCTACAAGTCACCCCATTCCTGGCGCCATTTTCATCCTTGACCTGGGAGGGCTACCAATAAAGTGTGCCCTCATTTCCCCTTAGAAATCCTCTGAAGGTCCGGGAAGACTCCTGGGCAAAACATAGCGAACTCGCCGCAGAGGCAGTTGCGAGCTCAGGCCCCAGGCGTTTTCACAGGGGTTACCCTTGTTTTGAATGGGTGAATTAGTGTAACGCAAGTCATTCAGAAGAAGTGTGAAGCTCAAGGACTATGAACCGACCTTGGTCCACGGTGTTTGGGAAACGGCCGGGTTCAACAGTTCGCTCCAGGGTCAGAGGGTCAGAAGTCCCAGACTGTGCAGGATAACCCATTCTTTGCTTGAGGAAAAGGGGGTGGATATGATTTGGGTGTTTGCTCCTAGAGTGTAATGCAGATCCTTTGAACTCCCTGCAGGGATCTTGTCTGCGCGTATGTGTGCGCGGGGGGTGGGGGGTGGGGTGGGGTGGGGTGGGGTGGGGTGGGGTGGGGTGGGGTGGGGTGGGGTGGGGTGGGGTGTGGTGGGGTGTGGGGTGGGGTGGGGTGGGGTGGGGTGGGGTGGGGACTGTCCGAGATGGCCGAGATGTCCGAGAGGGTATCGCTGAAGCTCTCTGATTTCGAGCAGCGCCCTGTTTTGTGAGGATAAAATTCCTGCAGATAGAATACTACGGTATTTGGCGGACGGAGTCGTCCGATTTCTTACTGCCATCGTCAATGGAAAACAACCAACATCATGTGGGCATGTGGCTGTCTCCTTTTCATTTCCTTTGAACTAAGGCAAAACGAGGCAACCCAAATCGCAGAAACCGCTTCAATCCGCACGTCGCCTCAACCGGTTTGCAGCTCCATCGGCGATTTTGGGATGGCTCGATGGCCAGGTCGCCGGTCGGAGTCCATGCCGCGACTGGAGGGGCAAAAGGCGGGAGCGAATGTGGGGAAGCCCTGGTGGTGGTTATATGGCTGTGGGTCAAACCCAATGGGATCCCATTTTGGGGTAGGTGCACCACCCATTGGGATTGGCAGGTTCACTGGGGGTACGAGATTTTGACCCATGGCCATATAGTTGCCATCCATTGTGATTCGGATTTTCCCAAGTGCAGCGA